ACCAAAACCAGCTCCACTCCATGAACGAACGCTCTAGATCCACCAAATTCGGATTCACCAAAACGGTGGATCTGGGGCAGATTCACTATTTTGCGATTATCATATTCACCATTTTGGTAAAGCTCCTCAAGGGGTGCTCCACCAAACTGAGTTTGGTCGAGTTGGGGAGAATTACCCACCACTGCCACCCATTACACAAAATACCGGTTCGTTTTCTTCTTTCACGTTCTTTTTCTTCTTTCTCGTTCGTCTTCCCATCGCGACCTCCTCAGTGGCCGCCACCACCCCCAGCCTAGTTGTCACTGTGTCGGCCCCGCCCTTGCCCCTAGCCGGCCGCCACCCTAGCCATGAGCGTCATCCACGCCCAGTGCCAGAGCGGGAGGAGATCACGAGCTGCAAGTGCTGATCCCGCCATGGCCAAGAGTCAATCGTTGCAGTGTGCGTAATAAGGGTGTGTTTGGTTTCCTGGCCTCACTACTACAGAAATAATTTTAGGTGACGGTGCCCAAACATTAACGGAGACGGGCACAAAATCCAACCACCTCCAAAAATGATGGGTTATTAACGGAGGCGGTCACATTTATTTACCGAGGCGATCACATTTGCCCACCTTGTAAAATCGATTAACGGAGGCGGTCAAAATCCAACCGCCTCCTAAAATCGATTTACGGAGGCAAGCGCCTTAAGACAACCGCCTCCAAAAATGGGCTATTTACGGAGGCGGTCGTCTTAAGGTGCCCGCCTCCAAAAATACAGGCCCAGCCCAGCCCAATATCCCACTCGGACTATATATACGCAGACTAAGGGTTTCTTTCTCCATCAGCTCTCTCAGTTCTTCCCCCTCCCTCCCTATCTATCTGATGGCGCACACCTCTCTCTCCCACTCACCCTCCTCTTTCTCTCTCTCCCTCCGACACCAACCTCTCTCTGCCTCTCTTGGTGGCTCAGTGAGCAGCCCCCACTGGCAGCAGCGGCGCGCGGGGCCGGATCTGGGCGGCGGCGTGGCCCCTGGTCCCCTCCTCCCTCTCCTCCAGTGCGGCGGCCGTGGCGTGCTAGGCGCAGGGCTGCGCCCGTGGCATGCTGGGCACAGGGCGGCAGCGCGGCCTCGGCTCCCTCCTCCCTTTCCTCCAATGTGGCAGCCGCAGTGTCCTGGCCGCGGGGTGGCGGCGGCGGCTCATGGACCATGGATCTAGGCGGTGGCGCGGCCCCGGCTCCCTCCTCCCTCCTCTCGACGGCCTTCTGACGGGGCGGCGGGAAGGCTCGTGGGGCCCGGATTTGGGGCGCACGCGGTCCCCTCCTCCTCCCTGACGCGCCCCTCATCATCTCCCGACGGCGCTCATGAGGCCTGGCTCCCTCCTCCGGCGGTGGCTGAGGCGGGGGACCAGCTCCCTTCTCCTAGCTGTGCTCTCGACGCTGGGGCGTTAGTTCTGGGCGAGCGGATCGACGGCGGTGGCGCGAGGCCCAGATCTAGGCCCGTGCACAGTCCAGATCTAGACCCGTGTGGTTTTTTTTTTTTTTTTTGTTTATTTTAATCGATTTATGGAGGCAGGCAAAGCAACCGCCTCCATTAATCCACATTTACCATGACCTTTGATTGGAGGCGGTTGCAATCCCCGCCTCCAAAAATAAAAAATGACCGCCTCCATTAAATTTTATGTAGTAGTGCCTGCTTCTAGCCTGGCTAGCCATCTAAGCCAAGGCAACCTAGTATTGCTTCCACCAAGCCAATCTTCAGTTGTTTGGTTGCTTGTATTGCCTAAGCCTGGTGTCGGGTTCATAAACCCGGGGTCCCCAATGGGCCCGCTTCCTAGCAAAAACTCGGCCTAGCAGACGGCGTAGCGACAACGCGTGCCTCCCGGGCTGACCCAGATACCTAATGACAGGCCGGGAGAACGATCTGCTCCTCGACCAGAAGGCCTGGCCAAGGAGGGGACATAGTCCGACTCGACCTCCTTTTCCGACCGGGGATACGCCGAACATCTACTTGCAGCTCTTCCCTGACCGACACGGTCGGGGCCGACTGGGAACAACCGACCGGGGACGCCCGCTCGGTAAGGGCCTAGGGATCAGGTGAAGCAGATAAGGTAAGGCGCTCAAGTCAAACCACAATACCAAGGACCGTACCCTGCGCACCTGCAGGACGGTGCCACCAGGCCATGCCAGATAGGCACTATGCAACCTTCCAGGCATGTCAGAACCCAAACAGTATTGTAGGCGCCGACATTTGTCATACCAGGCGAACACGGTAGAGCCTGCCACAGGCATCTGGACATAAATAGTATTGTGGGCGCCAACAATTGTCTCATACCCAATAGCGTGGGCAACAAGACTAGGTGGCACACGTATACATTCTCTCTCTTTCTCTGACTTGTAAGAGCCCATCCCTTCGACTATAAAAGGGGATGAGCTCTCTGGCTATTGGGGGACTGGCTCTCCTGCTCTCCTCAAAAAGAGAAGCTAGACAATTCAAGCAGTCGAGGATCTGAGAACTCGAATAGGACAATAGCTCTAGAACTCTAAAGCTACACAGAGCATACGCTCCAATACTTAGCGCACGTTAGAGCTCCCGTCACTCTCGGCCCTTCGGTTTAGAGTCTGACCGGGCCTTTAACACCCCCTTCTTATTCCTACCCATTTATAACCCCACAGCAAACTTCGAGCACCTAGGCTCAGGAATAAAGTCTCCGACCGACAGAAACTGGACGTAGGGCACGTTGCCTGAACCAGTATAAATCATGTGTCATCAAGTGCTAGGCCACATCCGATCACAACGCATGACAAAACTACAAATATTTACTTGTTGGTCACTTTTCGCACCGGCAGTTGGCGCCGTCCGTGAGGAGGATGTCGTGCGTTCACGCTTTTGGTCATCGGATGGCCCATCTTTCCACCATCTTCGGCAAGGCGGGCTCAAGCGATACGATTCGCTTCGGCTCGCTAGAGTTTCCCATGCTCCCACCAGTTGGGATGTGGGTTCCTCCCGTCTTCGAGCTGCTCCATACCTTCCTCTTCGGAAGTTTGGACTTCGTCGCCGACCAGCTCGGCGTACTCCGCCTCCGAGAGCAGGCACTTGTCCCGGCGCCCACTGGAGGAGGAGCGCCCTCCACCGGCCCCGAGCCACTCAACGACCTCAACGTTGAAACACCTGCGCTTCGCCTCGAGCCCATGCTGGGCTCAAACTCCACGGTGAGTAACGTACATATTGTTCTTTATTCACTATTTAACACCTTTCGCCGACTCTCCGGAGGGACCCCCGTTATCCTCACCACGACCGCCGTACAACCGGTTCCCCTATGGCTTCTCATCCCCCGTGGACACGTGCGCGTGGGGGCTCCAAAGGATGCTAACGCCGCCCCCTCTCACATCCGAATTCATGGGGATGGTGGGCTACGCTCTCGCCTCCTTTCACGACCTCGTAGATGACGAGGTCAAAAGCGACGGCTCTAGCATTGGCGACGTTGTGGCATCTGGCCACCCTCTGTCCCGAAAGTGCGCTGTGACGAACGCCCCGGGACAGCCACCGGTGGTAGCGGAATCTCTGCAGACCCACACTCCTCTGGACCCTCGTGCGAAGGCCCTCGCGCGTGCGCAGGAGAACGGCGAGGAGTTACGACAAAGGCGGCAGAGTCAGCCGCCACCTGCGCTGGCGCGCTCGGAGTAGTATGCTGCACCACGTGCGCGTAACCCGGCAAGCGGCGCTCGGGGTCGCGCCCGCCAGGTCCAGCAGAACATCCTGGACGGAGGGAACGATCCCCCACAGTTTGCTCGGGCTGACCAGAACATCGCTGCTGCCACGATGCTTCTGCACGGCCTTCCCGAGCCTACCGACCCCTAGGAACAGACAATCCACCAAAACCTCCCGAGCGCTGGTGGAAACCGCCTCTGTTCAACAGATGGAGAGCTCCGTGTTGCGACATCGGCTCGCGGCCTCTTGCCCCACCGGGGGAATGGGGCCGCACCAGAAAGATTGCACGATATTAACAGAAAAGATATTTGGAGCTTCCAATCAGAGAGAAAGCCAGAAAGAATATCTGGAGCTTTCAATCAGAGAGAAAGCTAGAAAAAATATCTGGAGCTTCCAATCAGAGAGAAAGATAGAATATCTGGCAAATCAGAGAGAAAGCCAGAATATCTAGAGCTTCCAATCAGAGAGAAAGCCAGACAGAATATCTGGAGCTTTCAATAAAACAGAAAGCCAGAAAGAATTTCTGGAGCTCCCGATCACAGAGAAAGCCCTGCACCTACAGACAGTTGCTGCTAGCTCTATAAATACCAGCTTCCATTATACATCACTCGTGCCTCATCTCACAAGTATAGTATACACAATCGTCACAACAAGTTGAAGCTAGCAGTTGCGCTGTTGCACATCACTGCACAGCAGGCGCGCAGATCGACATGGGCTCCATCGCTGCTGACGCCGATCGCCGGGCGCACGCCGTGTGCGTGCCGTTCCCAGCGCAGGGCCACGTCACGCCGATGCTGAAGCTGGCCAAGATCCTCCACAGCCGGGGCTTCCACATCACCTTCGTCAACACGGAGTTCAACCACCGCCGCTTGCTCCGCTCCCGCGGCGCCGGCGCGCTCGACGGCCTCCCGGACTTCCGCTTCGCCGCCATCCCGGAGGGCCTGCCCCCGTCCGACGCCGACGCCACCCAGGACGTGCCGTCGCTCTGCCGCGCCACCATGGAGAACTGCCTCCCGCATTTCAGGAGCCTCCTCGCCGAGCTCAACTCCTCCCCGGACGTGCCGCCGGTCACTTGCGTCGTCGGAGACGACGTCATGAGCTTCACTCTGGAAGCAGCCCGAGAGATCGGCGTGCCGTGCGCGCTCTTCTGGACGGCCAGCGTCTGCGGCTACATGGGCTACCGCTATTACCGCGACCTCATGGAGAAGGGCATCTTCCCGCTCAAAGGTTAGCCCCCCGCCTGCACGAAGCACGATGGGTCGGTAGGGTACTGCAGCAGGCAGCTGCTCACGTTTTCTAACCATGATCGATGCAGATGCCGAGCAGTTGACGAACGGGTTCTTGGACACGCCGGCGGACTGGGCGCCGGGGATGGGCAAGCACTTCCGGCTCAAGGACTTCCCAAGCTTCATGCGCTCGACGGACCCCGACGAGTTCATGTTCCACTTCCCCCTTAAGGTGACGGAGCAGATAGCCGGCGCGGACGCCGTTATCCTCAACACCTTCGACAAGCTCGAGCAGGAGGCGCTCGACGCCATGCGCGCCATGATCCCGTCGTCCGCGTCCATCCACACCATTGGCCCGCTCGCCTTCCTCGCCGAGGAGATAGTACCCCAGGGAGACCCGGCCGATGCGTTTGGCTCCAACCTCTGGAAGGAGGACGTCTCCTGCTTCGACTGGCTCCACGGCAGGGCGCCCAGGTCGGTGGTGTACGTGAACTACGGCAGCATCACGGTGATGACCAACGAAGAGCTGGTGGAATTCGCGTGGGGCCTGGCCAACAGCGGCCACGACTTCCTATGGATCATCCGGCCGGACCTCGTCAATGGCGACGCCGCCGTGCTGCCGCCGGAGTTCCTGGAGGCCAGCAAGGGCCGCGGCCACCTGGCGAGCTGGTGCCCGCAGGAGGTGGTGCTGAGGCACGAGGCGGTGGGCGTGTTCCTGACGCACTCCGGGTGGAACTCGACCATGGAGAGCCTGTGCGCCGGAGTGCCCATGCTGTGCTGGCCCTTCTTCGCGGAGCAGCAGACCAACTGCCGGTACAAGTGCGTGGAGTGGGGCGTGGCCATGGAGATCGGCCACGACGTCCGGCGTGAGGTGGTGGAGGAGAAGATCCGCGAGGTGATGGGTGGGGAGAAGGGAAAGGAGATGCACCGCCGTGCGGTGGAGTGGCAGGAGACTGGTCTCCGCGCGACGCGGCCCGGAGGGCGCTCATACGCCAACCTCGACAAGCTGGTCGCCGACGTGCTCCTCTCGGGTGTCGGCAACAAGAGTTCTTAATAATCTCAGCAAGGTTTCTTCCTTCCACCACCGTCCAGTGTGTTTCGTGATTCGTTCTGAACATCGATGGAGTACTATCCTATATCGTCATTTGTTTTGTCGAGCGTGAATCTTGAGACACGCAAATCCGTAAATCATGTAGGGCATACGTGGATAATTCGCGAACGCATCAATCAGCAAATGTGCAAATAATTTTCCGACACGGCGTACCATTCTTTTTCAGAATAAGTAATTTCCGCATGGCACCCTTGGATAGTGACAAGTGTGCTCGTTCTCTTTTCCCGTGCTGAGTGAACTGCTGCATGCGTGCACTCAATTTCAACTGTATGTTGGGGCCCATGCAAAATATTTTTTTTAAAAATATTATAACTTCTTAACGGTGTATCTATTTTCAATTCCATCTACACCTGTGTATTCTACGTGACGAGAAAAACACAACATAAGCAAGTGGGATCTAGTTTTGTTCGTCTCATCTCGTAGAACACACTGGTGTAGACGAAATTAAAAATAAATACACCGTTCAAAAATTATAGCATTTTGAAACAAAAGTTTCACTTTTTTTAAAAGTGACGTCAGGAACTTGAATGGGCAGTGCGGGCGCGTACAGACCCGATCGGATCGTTCGCTGACCAAGAAATGAGTAAACGACCGCCAGGATCTGGGCATAACTTGGTGGGAGTAGCCAATAGCTAGCGGAAGAAGTTACTTTTCGTACCAGGCAAATACTGGAATATGAAAGCCTGGTGGCCAAGAGGGCGAATTAACATAAATTATATTTGTTGTATTAGTTGCAAATTGCAAATGTTTGTACGAGTCTCTGGTAGGGTGAAAACGATCCGAAACGATAGGAAGAAGGCTCTGTTCACGTTTCTATATTGAAAATGAAACTAATACGTATCGTCGAATATGAGAACGGTACCGATACTTCGGTTAATGTCAAAAACGACACTATACGATAGAAAGTACATTGATAACAATAACAAAACGATACTTCCAAAACAATAAACACATCAAATCGTAGAACATGACATTAGCCACGTAAGTATATAACCTACTCCATCGCATACAAATGAACTAACGATTAAGACATAAACATTACTTTAACCATCTCCATAACACATAGTCACATACGTTCCTACTAATTTAACGAAGCCCCGTCACTTGTTCTGGAACTGGGTTGGGTTAAGGTTTTGAGTGGGACCCACATTTTTTATAAGAAAAATAGAAAGACAAGATTCTTTTGACTTTGGATCCTCTGTCCAACTTAGGTTCGTTCAGAGTGGACCAGACGGTGGCGCAACTAGAGTGCGGGTGTGCAGAGAAGCGAGGACTAGGAGTCGAGTCATGTTGCTGGCCTAGTAGTCTTGGCCTCATGGCTCCCAAAGTTGGAGAGGATCTCTTTGTTTTTTCTCTAGAGAAAACGGTATAGTATCACAATATTTTACTGCAGTAATACGGTAAACGGTAAATACCGCTACCGTTTAAATTTTTGTATTTTGCTACCTTTATGAATACGGTATTTATAGTCACTGCTACCATTTTTGTTTTAGTCAAAAACACGGCAAAATCTCGGAAACGAGCCTCTCGGTAACCAATATCTTCCAGTTTTGCTTTTATTCCCAGTATGCACCTTGACGTATCTATACAACCTATATAGTACCTCGGTCTCAAAATAAATGTATATCCTTCTTCTCAGAGAGTCAAACTCTTTTAAATTTAACTAGTTGTATAGAAACTAGAATTAATATTTATCTCCAAATAAGCTTATTATGAAAGTATATTTCACTCTCTATATAATGATGTGCTGGGGGGACGCCTTTGACGCGCCACACCGACTTGACCTCGTCCCAAAGCTAGACCTTCGATCCGGAGGGGCCTTCACTACCGTGCTCAGCGGCGCCCTCGGCGAAGGACGTCTCGTCTATGTGCCCCTGAACGGTGCCCTACCCGACAATGGACAGCAGCAGGAGACGCCTTGCCAATGCCCTCGACGAAGGTAACTTCGATTTTGTGTCTTTGCAGATTGCACGTTGCTCTCGGGGCCGTCCAGACGGGAGGGAACCTTCGCGGGGTATGCCCCGTCACGAGGAGTTGGAGGACGGACGAAGACTGTGGTCCCCGGAGACGTAGCTCCCAACGGCGTTAAGGGAGTAGTTGAAACGAGTGCGCAAAATGTCTGGAGTGCTCCTGTACCCCTGTAGAGTGATACCCTGCTCGGCAAGGGTGGTTTGTAATCTCACCACGTTCCCGGGTATGTCTTATAAATACCTGATTAGTGGCATAGTAATAGATGACCAATTAATGTTTGTTTACTCCAGAATTTATTGTCATTCTGCCCTGACCCGCTTCTTCTGAACTCTAGCTTTACTTTTCTGTGGGGGCACCCTCGGCCTCCTCCGTGCAGCGGTGATGTGTTACGGCAAAAATAGCTGAGCAGCCGGAGGATGAAGACGAGGGCAACAAAGTCATTTCTCTCGCCTTCTCTCTCCGCGAATACGAGAAAATAATGAAATAATGGATGCGGTGTGTTACGGCAAAGAACCCCAAATTTATAATGGTACTAGGCAAATTCCGCTCGTTATGGTGTCCATCGGCATTTTATGCATTTTAACGGTGTCCCACAGCAAAATTTTCCATGTTCATATGATAGGCTAATAAGTGTGCGCACACTCTTGAAGGAGTATGGTTACGAATATGAGAGAGTATGTTTTGCATTGTGTGTTGATTGCAAACAATAATTAGTTTCATGCTAAGCGAGTCACAACGAACTCATAGTAAAATATTACTCGGTCCATTCTAAATAATAGGTCATTATTAGCTTTATTCTAAGTTGAATTTATTAAGACTATAAAATTAAATTAGTTTAATCTAATCAACCGTGAAATATGCATGTCTTTATATACTTCATCTGTTTGTATTCTAGACGAGCAAAAACTTATATAAGTTAGAATTTGAACGGAGTGGGTACTTGCCACAATAAGATTGTCCCAGTTGCAACGACGTGGCCATTGGATCTCTCGAATAGTCAGCGCCCTCCTCAGTTGGCACGCGGTGCCAAAGGACCTCTACTCCAACTGGTTAGAGCGTCCCAACGGCACTTCTCAGGTCCTGGGTTTGATTTTCCGTATGAGCGAATTTCAGGTTGGGGTTAAAAAATCATCTCATCTGTTCTACGCCAAAGCACAGGTCTAAGGAACCACTCTGTTTTCACAGGGTACGGTGCTGCTGTGTATGGATGAGGCAGAGGTTTGAGGGTTTTCTGGACCTGCGTGAGAGGTTCTTCTTCTGAATGCAATGCCCACGTGGTGATGCCCGTCGATCGGGATGCGTCGATGGATTCAATAACGTTTTACTGGCCATGGTAGCGAATTTCAGACTGGGGTTAAAAAATCTCATTGTCTGTCTCACACCAAAGCACAAGTCTAAGGAACGGTCCTGTTCTCACTGGGGTACGGTACCGCTATGTATAGGTGAGACAGGAGTTCAAAGGTTTTCTGGACCTACGTAAGAGGTTCTTCTTAATGCAATACCCGGGGTGGCTTTCCCCGTAGGTCCAGTTGGCACGTGGTGATGCCCGTCGATTGGGACGCGTCGATGGATTCAATAACGTTTTACTGGCCACGGCATCTGACGCGGATCGGATGATGATGCTATCTATCCTACTCGAGAGGTCTTGTTCGCATCGAGCTGAATGCGATCACTGCTTCAGCACTTCGACGTGTGCCATGTCGCCCAGAGATCTTCTCCAGAAAAGCCGACGATCTCTCAATACTTAATTGATGATCGCAGTGTCGTCAACGCCGGCCGTGCCCTTCTTCGCTACTGCACGTAATTTGCTACCGCTGCGTCTCAGTTAGTTTGGTCACGTGCTCTTTGCTCGTACGTGTATACGCCGCCACGCAGCTTGCTTGTGTGCAGTCTGTGGTCGTGTTGGTGATACTTGCTCCTATGTATGTACATACCACACCACTCGTGCATCACGTTGCCTCCTCGTGCGGCACTGCTATATATCGGGCGTGTCAAAGTGTCCTTGTTGCACCAACTGAGAGGCGCCACTGCACAGCGGAGCCCCACAAGCGCCTAAGCCGTGGCTTTGGATGCGAAAGCTCTGCAGGCGGTGGCGAAAGAGGCAGCAGTCCCTGTTGCCCTCGACGCTGGCACCGTGAGGCGGCGGCGGCGGCGGTCGTCTCAGAACGGCGGCGCTGCTTCGCCCGCGAGGACGGCCCCCGCCACGTCCGTGGGTGTGCCGGTGCCGGTGGTGGCGCTCTGTAGCGACGACAGGAGGATGAAGCAGGAACTCGTCGCGTGGGCCAAGGCTGTGGCGTCCTTGGTTGTCAGGGAGTCCATGCATTGCTAAGGCGTGTGGCTTCTTTTCCTTGCAGCCCCAGGTCAGGTAGCTCGCTAGCGCACCGGGGACGAAGCGATCCGCGATTCACGCGCTAGCTAGGCGATCTCCTGACACACACACACACAAAAAAAAAAAAAAAAAGCACTAGTTGTTTCTTTTTGCCTTTTGTTGCTTTCCACGAGTCATTTCTTCTTGAAGGAGTACTGGAGTGAAACAACTTTCACGGATTCAGGACGAAATTGCCCGTGTTTGTTCGCCTTGCTATGAGGCTTCTGGTTTCGGATCGACTGCTGACCATGTGGGCTGTACATACTTCTGGTTTCTGAAACACTCTATCCAGCGCGCGCACCTCCTTGCACAGTATTTCTTAGTCGCAAAAGAAAAACTAAGCAGGAATTCTTCCCCGACTCCGACGCCCCCGCCACCGCTGCCGTAACTCCCCCCCGTCACCACCACCGCCACCATGGCCGGAGCTCCCCCGCCACGACCTGGCCAGGCCGCCGCTACCGCCGCCTGCTCCCCTAAACTTATAGCCGGCTATCCCCACCGCTTGGCCGGCCTTCCTCTCCCCGGCCGGCCATTCTATACCCTGCCGGAGTTGGAGAAGAAAATGGGGAACTCACCGGAACCCTAGAAAGCATATCCAGGAGGA